TTTGGAAAATCCACTCTTATGGAGTTCTTTTTCCCCTCATCTGGATCATTATCTGAGGCTGTAGAGGTGAGGAAGACTTATTTCCACTGCTTAAATCCTGCAAGAAAAATTAGGGGTTTGTGATCAAGAGAAAGGCCTTAGAGATGATTGTGTAGTCATTGAATTATAAGATTATAATTATAATTAGGAGACCTTGGAGGGCTTCTATTTCAATCTCCTGTCCAAGGCAGAAGCCCTTAAACTGTCCCAGACTATAAGGGAAGGAGTGGAAGAGCCTGGGGCAGAGTTAAAATTGGATTAGCCTAGAATCCCTACAGTGTTACAAGTGGACTAAGACCACCACCACACCTTGAATTCCATGGACCCTTATCAAGCTCCAAACAGGTGCTGACCACCGGATGAGAAGATTATTCCTGTGGGTAGGTTTTTAGCAATAAATCAGTTTAATTCAATGGGGACCTGGTCTTTTGCATCTGACATGGACAATCTTGAAAACCATCAATGATGGTATCAAGTATCCACAACTGCAGGAAACAAGCTGTTCCATTGATTCTCACTGTCAATGATTACGATAGATGAGTTTGGTTGGAAGGTCACTTTCAAGAGGGCCATTTAAAAGGTGGAGGTTTAGCATAAAGGCCGAGCCAGACAGAAGCCTGCAAAGTTTGATTTTGATCCTCTGAGCAACAGGTGAGAAAGCATCCATTATCTTCAGGTTGGAAGGGGAACATTTAGGCTTTGCATAGACGAGGTAGTTGTTAGGGCCCCATCTAGCATTGAGGCCCCCTCCCAGGACTACAGAAGCATTTGAATTCATCAACATTAGATCAGTAGCAGATGTTTCCTGTTCAGTTCAGTGATCTGGGTTTTGTGTCTCATTGGGAGCAAATAAGAATTTATTATCAGCAGGGTAATATAGTTAAATTGGATTAACACTGCCATAGTGTCCGGCTTGAGTGGATTGTGATCACTAGGAGGCTTGAAGGGGGACAGTTGTCCTCAGCAAAGTTGTTGGTCTTTAGAGCCTCTTTGAAGTTGATCTCTGAGTCTTTCCTTTGATGTCCAAGAAAGAGATTGCTTCAAGGAGGGTGAGCCTTGCTCTTAAGAAACAGGTGTCCCATCTGAAACTGGGCAAGATTTAGATGCATTTGTTTAAGGGCTACAGGTGATTCATTGCCCCTGAGATAACTTGTTATTTTAACAAGGCAAGCCACTAGTATAGAAAATTAGAGCAAACACCACTTCCTTCTAACACTGATTATGTTAGCTAGTTTGATAATGAAACATTTGCAAGAAAACAACCAAGCTCAGAGGGCACCAAGGACCCCACAGCATTGGACTGTTGTTTACCAAGCATTGCAGATATGCCAATTTCTTCCTCCATCACAATGAAATGCCCGAAGTAAAGATTATACCATTTTCTTCTGTGTATTCTTGTTTTTTTCTCTAGCAGTTATCCCCAAGGGCCACACGCATCTACTTGGCACTGCATTGGAGAAAGTTATTCTTAGATATAGACATTTGCATATTCATCACTGCTGTGGAGTCAGTGGGATTTTGCCATTCACTACCACTAATAATAATCTTTAACTGCGTCACTATCACAGTAGCATTCTCAGGTTTCCTTTATGGGAGCATTTGAAAGAATGCAGGACTTTCTAAATGCTGCTTCCCCAGGGAAATAAGGAGATTTTACATAGCATCTGATATCTGGGTCAAGGAGATAAAGTACTGGGTATTTTAGCAGCTAAATTGGTTGTTCTTGGAGATGAACTCTGGATGGGGATGGACTGGGTCTCTTGGCAGCTTTTGATTCCAAGGACCATGGCTGCTTCTGGAGCAGCTTCAGAGACTGAGAGGCGAGATCTCTGTTTTGCAGTGTTTTTCATCCTCCTTCATGGCTAATTCCAGTGAATGTCAGTGTGGGAGAAGAAGAAGGTCCAACCTTAGACCATCTTCTGCTCTGTGTGGTTCCTCAGTATTTGGGTCTCTCTTTGCTCTTCTTTAACCTGAAAGTTTTGGGTGAGATCATTTGGCAGAATGGGATGCAGCACCATTAGCATCTTCATGAGGCACACTTGCACATCTCCACCCCTGATCAGCTGTGTGCACATGCGCCTACTATTCACATGCCCCCCTTGCACTGTGCCAGGTCATCAAGGTGGAAAGGTTAGAGACCATTGGTCTAGAGGATGTGGGAATCAAGATGGGAGGAACTGGCTCCAACTCAATGCTAGCTTGATGGATTGACTTGGGGTTTTTTGGTCTCCCTTGATTCTGAGAGATTCAATGGGAGATCACTCCCCTGAACTTGGTCGGCAATTTAGGGTCCTCATGGATTCACTACTCTTGCTGAAGAAATAGGTAGCTGTTGTGACTCAGCAGATGTCTGCTGTGAGTCTTTTCGGGATACAAGATTCATTATGCAGCTGGGGCTGGTTAGAGGCAAGTTTGGAGATAAAAGGACGGATGCCGCCACGCCCTAGTCACAGGAGTCAACGTTCCTTCGTGCGTTCCTTGATCCTTGATCGTGGTTTCTTTGCTGTACACTTGGAAAAGTGGTTTGATTTCTGTAACCCTGATTTGTAGAGACTTTGGAAGAAGGGCTTTGCTTTTGTTTGATTCACCTTGTATTGAAGTAAGAAAGGTTTGTGTTTCAGTCCGTTATCTTCTGGCAGAGACTTTAATTAGTTTATTTTTGGGCTCGAAGCCAGTTTGAATTGAGAACTGATAAAGAAAGTTCCTTTTAAGTTTATTTGTCTTGCAGTTTGTTAAGAGCCGTGAAGGGGGGACAGAACAGGTAGCCATCCTAGCTAGGTGGACCTTTACACAGATCTACCTTGTGCACCACTTGTGCTCATTTCTGGATAGGGAGGCCTTGTTCATTGTCACTCATGCCTTGATGCTTCCTAGGTGCATTACTGAAATATGCTCTACCTGGGGCTGGCCTTGAAGACTATCCGAAATTACTATTGGGCCAGAATGCAGCAGCTTGCACAGTGCTGAGAGCCCCTCAGTTTGCTGCTGTTGAATTGTACTGGCTACCAGTTTAACCCATAGGCTTTGGAATTAGGTAAGGCTGGAGCTCAGTGACTGTGATATTTTTTTATCTATTGGGAAGTATTAATTTAGACCTAAGAGTTGGTTTTTTGTTTTTATTTATTTAGGTATTTTTTTTGTATTAACTTTGTTTTTTAATGTTCTTATTACTGCTGCTGTGAGCTGCCCAGAGTTACAGCACATAAGATGAGCAGTTCTCTAAGTCTCTTAAATAAATGGACAATCCAGGTTCTTCTTCCTCCTGCTTGTCCTTAAATGAACTCTGGTTATCTCTAGCTTCTGAGACACTGCATGAGAGTCCTTTTTTAAAAGATACTGAAAAACAAGCACTGGGGATTGGAATGTCCCCTTCTTTTAAGGGTTCAGCAGAGCTGCATTTAATTCACACAATTGTGAATTAAAACTGTCTTGGAAGTCAAATAAATTATCTCTGGTGTGAATTTGGTACCTATATGAAGTCAGCTCAAAGGATATGATGGAACCAGAAGACAAAGTGAGATCCAATTATAAGAAACTACAGAGTTATGACAGAGCTTTTCAGCACCTTGGACAGATCATTATGGTAGAGTTGTCTTGGCAACATAATCTGCCTTCTGAAGGCTCCCTTATTCCACTTTTGGAAGATTTAACCATGTCTATGACCACTCATAAAGTAGAAGATGATCTTTAGAGGCTTTCTAACTTTGAGAAATGTGTTAAAGTCAGATCCTTACTAGACTTGAATGATCCTTACTAGACATCAGTTCTCTAGATGATTTTATTTTATTTTTATTAAATTTATATCCTGCCCATCTGACTAACAGCAACTCTGTTACTTTCCCCCCTAGTATCCTCAGGGTCATAAACAGGGTCAAGGTTAGACAATGTGGTAGTCAGATTACATCTGGACAATGACCATAATTGGGCCATAAAAGGAGCCATGGTAGTGCAGTGTTAGAATATAGTATTTCAGGCTGACTCTGCATTCCACTGTCAGCAGTTTGATTCTGACCAGCTCAAGGTTAACTTAGCCTTTCATCCTTCCAAGCTCCTAGAAAATGCTGACTCTGTAAACAGCTTAGAGAGGGCTATAAAAAACTATGAAGTGGTATATAGGTCTAAGTGCCATTGCTATAATCAGGTTTGGTTTCATTGATGGCTCCTATTGCTTGCTAAATCCTAAATTGGGATTATGCATGCATGACTGCTATATTCATAAAGTAGGTTATACCCCATACAGATAAATGTTATTATAGTATTATGGTGGCTTGATTTAAACAACTTAAAAAAATAAGCACAGTCACCTCCTACTCATAATACTGTGAAACAAACCAATTTTAACCTAGTTTAGTAGATGGCATCAGCCCAATCATTCTGCATGTTTTGGGGAAATGAAACATCTGATGTAAAAATTCATTACAGTGAATGCAGATGTCATGATTTGCATGATAATAACCTCAATGTCTTGTACCTGCTTCATTTGGGGAAAGTTTGTGGGAGTGTGATACACATGGTACTTATTTACAGTGTGTGTGTGTGTGTGTGTGNCTATACCAAAGTGACAGAGGGTGGTCAGCCCTTCTTCCCCTCTTCTGCCTCTTTTCTTTCCTTACATAAACCCTTTGCACGTTAATTCACTCAGAATCCCTTGTGTGGATGGCACCTCTGGCTTCCAGGGGGATGGGGGTGATGTGAGCATGAGCTCAGAGCAGTGATGGAGCCTGATGTTTTGCAGAGTGAGCGAGGACTCTGCTGGGCTTTGCAACAGCCCCGAGGGAGGTCTCCACCAGGAACCTCTGAGCCAGAATCCGGCCACAGGGAAGGGGGGCTTCCTCCCATCTTGCTCTTCCTAGCCCCCCTGCCTCCTTGTGGCATGACTCTGCTGCTGTTGCCGGCAAGGAGAGGACTTCCAGCGGGGTGGGGGTTGGGTGGCGGGACCAGATAGGGTTGGGTAAGTTTGGGTGGTGGAATTGATAGGAGAACAGAAAATCTTTGAAGGTAAGACGGCGGCTGCTCCGTTGGGCCACTGCCAGAGAACATCGCAACTCTGAACTGATGTCCAGGTTCGGGGGCTCTGGGAGATGCTGCTGAGGTCTCCAGCCTGCCTCTTGTGGAGGCCTTTGGGCTGTGTCCTCCAGGAAGCCCCGGGTGGGCTGACCTAGTGATATCAAGTCCATCTCTTCAGTTTTTTCCCCAGTGGGGCTGCAGGAAAGATCTTTTGCTCCTGGCCTTTGCCAGTCAATCACTAAGGAGCCCCTTTTCTCTCTAGGAGCCACAAGAGATATCGGCTCGGCACTGACCCGGATGTGCATGCGCCACCGCAGCATCGAGACCAAGCTGAGACACTTCACCAAGTAAGCGTTTTCTTGTGCAACTCAGGTGCACTTCCAGGCCCAGAGACAGAAAGGGGAGGAGTGGACTTTGGAAGGGGAAGGCTGAAAGAAGCCTTCTGTAGCAGGCGGCCCCTTCCTGGGCCAGTCTTACTCCCTCTGCTCTGTGGCCAATTCCCCCGGGGCCAGGGGGGGCTCTGTCTCATACACACACACACCCAGTTCAAGACGGAGCCCATTTCCAGGCCCACTTTGTGTAGGGCAAAACAAAAGAGAGAAAGGTGACTTTCATTAGGTGAAGGCTTCCTTCACCAGGGGCTGCCCCTGAAGAGTGTTCGAAGACTACAATTGGTCCAGAATGCAGCCATGCGAGCGATATGGGGTGTATCTAGATACACCC